ACACACTCTCACTCACTCACACACTCTCACTCACTCACACACTCACACATTCTTAATGAAGCTTATGAGACCTAATTGAGTTCTTAATTCAGTTTAGTTTGACTTTTTCCCATATGTTTCTGCTAAGATTCCTTTGGAGAAAAAAAAGCACGCACGCACGCACTCACTCACTCACACACGCACACACACTCACTCACTCACACACGCACTCACACACTCACTCACTCACTCACTCACGCACGCACGCACTCACTCACTCACTGACGCACGCACGCACGCACTCACTCACTCACACACGCACACACACTCACTCACTCACACACGCACTCACACACTCACTCACTCACTCACTGACGCACGCACGCACTCACTCACTCACTGACGCACGCACGCACTCACTCACTCACTCACTCACTCACACACACATTCACTCACATACACTCACGCACACACACTCGCATTCACTCACATTCTCACTCACTCACTCACTCACTCACTCGCTCACGTACTCTCACGCACTCTCACTCACACACTCACTCACACACACACACTCGCTCACTCACTCACACACACTCTCGCTCACTCACACTCACTCACACACACACACACTCACTCACTCACTCACGCGCACTCACTCACTCACGCGCACTCACTCACTCACACACACTCACTCACTCACTCACACACGCATGCACTCACTCACTCACTCTCACTCTCACACTCACTCACTCTCACTCTCACACTCACTCACTCACTCTCACACTCACTCACTCACACTCTCGCTCACTCACTCACTCACACTCACTCACACTCTCGCTCACTCACACTCACTCACACACTCACGCGCACTCACACACTCACGCGCACTCACTCACACACACACACTCACTCACTCACACACGCATGCACTCACTCACTCACTCACTCTCACACTCACTCACTCACTCACACACGCACGCACTCACACTCACTCACTCACTCACACACACTCTCACTCACTCACTCTCACACACACTCGCACTCACGTACACTCACACACTCTCATTCACTCACTCTCACACTCACTCTCACACTCACTCACTCACACACTCACATTCTCACTCACTCACTCACTCGCTCACGTACTCTCACGCAGTCTCACTCACACACTCACACACACACACTCTCGCTCACTCACACTCACGCACTCACTCACTCACACACTCACTCACACACACACTCACACACACACTCACTCACACACTCACACACACACTCACTCACACACACACTCACACACACACACACACACACACACACACACACACACACACACACACACAACTGATGCTGATTGTGTTCATATTGAGATCCTGTGACTGCAGGAAAATCTAAGTATGTTGGCAAATCTGAATGCAAAAACCAGGAGATGTTTGAATAGAAAACAGGTGGAATAAAATCAAAGTGAAACCACTTTTGTGACAAATTTTACTTCCATAAACGAATGCAACTAAATTATGAAAGTATTTCATTATGAAAGTATTTCATTTTGACTCCCATTTGAGATTTTTTCTGTTTCTTTCTAGGTCTAATAAAAAAAACTTAATTACACACACTTTTTCTATTTTTATCTTTTGTCTCCTCTAAATAATGACTGTATAATGTATTGGAGTGATAGTCGAGTTCTGCTGGGTGTGGAGCTGCAGAGCCCAGTATTGGACAATCTTCACTAGTTTATTTTAAAATGAGCTTTGACCGCTTCTGCTGTTAAGGCATGCGTCTCTGAAGGTTTCTGTGGTAGATGGAGGAAACGGGCACATATACATGAAATGCAGATGATGGTCTGATGCATCTCAGTGAGGATAGAGGGGGGTGTGTTTGTTGCTGCAGCCCCATTGTGGGCTTTAGGACCGTTTCTTTCTCAGTGTGCAGGTCGCTTGTCTGTAAGGCTGTGTGTTTTTTTTTTTTTTGGTTATTGAAGAGCTCTTCTTGATTTTGCAGATGTCTGAGTGTTAATTCATGTGATTAACACCTGTCTGTTTACCTGAGTCTTTGAGCAGAAGATCTTCTGCTGATGTTTGATTATTAGGAGTTTTTAACAAACCACTAAAACTAAGCATTGCACTTCGTCTTGCAACATCTCTTGGTGCTACAGATTTCTACCTCGAAAAATGCAGCTTACTGAGGTGTTTATGCGTGTAAGAACCACTCGTGTCTTCTTCAGGAAAAGTTGAAATAAATATTCTCTGGTTTGGTGTGTAGCTTGCTGTGGTTTGTCTGTGTGTTAATGTATGTCAAAACATTGTCAAATTACAGCCCAATTAGCAGTTTCTAGTCACATCTCTGACCTTATATTGTGATACATTTACAGCTGACTTGGCGTCCATGTTGAACGCTGATAATGATGAAACACGTGAACTTGCCAAAAACAATAATGTACATGTGAGCCAGATCAGTCTTTTTGCTGTTAATATTTGAGCGCTTGAGAAGCTGTAAAACTGATAAGAGACATACACTCTGAGCAGAGTTCATGTATCCAGCAGCCACAATGTCCCCTCACTCACACGCGCACACACACATTCACTCTCTCACACACACACACACACATTCACTCTCTCACACACACAATCACACACACACACTCACTCACTCACTCACACACACTCACACACACATTCACTCTCTCACACACACACACACACACACACACACTCACTCACTCACACTCACACACACATTCACTCTCTCACTCACACACTCACACACTCACTCTCTCACACTCACTCACTCACACACATTCACTCTCTCACACACACACACTCACTCACTCACTCACACTCACACACACACACATTCACTTACATTCACACTCACTCACACACACACGCACACACACACACTCACTCACACACGCGCACACATACACACACACACACACTCACTCACACACACACGCGCACACATACACACACTCACTCACACACACACGCACACACACACACTCACTCACACACGCGCACACATACACACACACACACACACACTCACTCACGCGCACACACACACGCACACTCTCACTCACTCACTCACTCACGCACGCACGCACGCACAGTGTTTTTCTCTTCAATCACTGCTGAAATGCCACATATGATCAGGAATCAGTTTGCTGTTTGTGACGAGTCCCTACTGTAACAGAGGAAGACTTCATCCTCCATATCTCTCTTGTTCTCAATATCTCTGTTTTTCCAGTTTTCATTCGGCATGCACTAAATGTCCTTTTTATTTGAGTGTGTAGTAACACAGTATGTCAGTATTGAGACATTTTTATAATATAATGTTGTACAATATTGTTTTTTTCTGGACCACTTTGCTATATGTGACCCTGGAGCACAAAAGCAGTGTTAAGTCGCTGGGGTATATTTGTAGCAATAGCCAACAATACACTGTATGGGTCAAAATTATAGACTTTTCTTTTATGCCAAAAATCATTAGGATATTAAGTAAAGATCATGTTCCATGAAGATATTTTGTAAATTTCCTACTGTAAATGTATCAAAACTTAATTTGTGATTAGTAATATGCATTGCTAAGAACTTCATTTTGGACAACTTTAAAGATGATTTTCTCAATATTTAGATTTTTTTGCACCCTCAGATTCCAGATTTTCAAATAGTTGAATCTCGGCCAAATATAGTCATATCCTTACAAACCACATACATCAATGGAAAGCTTATTTATTCAGATGTATAAATCTCAATTGAATTCTCAAAATGACCCTTATGACTGGTTTTGTGGTCCAGGTTCATATTTGATTCTTGTGTTTACATCTAATTGAGTACATTCACTGATTTCTCCCCTTTTAGGCTCATATAAACCTAATATTTGTCACAGAACCCCCACTGAAATCCTTCTGTCTGTTCCTCTGCTCTGCTCTCTAGCTCTCCGGAGGGTGCGAGCTGACGGTGGTCCTGCAGGACTTCGTGGCGAGTGGCGCGTCTGAGCTCAGCGTCCAGACCGGTCAGACGGTGGAGCTGTTGGAGCGGCCCAGCGACCGGCCGGGATGGTGTCTGGTCCGGACCACAGACAAGAGCCCTCCTCAGGAGGGACTGGTGCCCAGCAGTGGTCTGTGTATCTCTCACTCTCGCAGCAGTGTGGAGATGGACTGCTTTTTCCCAGCAGGCAAAGGTAAGAGATTCTCGGTTCTGCTCTTGTGCTTCGTAGATAAGCATATGATTTTTGAACATTTTTCTTCACTTAGAGTACACACTACTGTTCAAAAGTTTGGGGTTGGTAAGATTTTTCAAATATTTTTGAAAGTAGTCTCTTCTGCTCACCAAGGCTGCATTTATTTGAGTAAAAATACAGTAAAATGGTACTAACATGAAATATTTTAATTTATATGATCTGTTTTCAAGATTAATATATTTTAAAATGTAATTTATTTTCTGTGAGTCAGCTGAATTTCCATCATCATTGCAGTCACGTGATCTTTCAGAAACCATATGATATGCTGATTTGCTGTTTAAGAAATATATGAGCAATGTTGAAAACTATTGCTGCTTATTATTTTTGTAAAAACAGTGTTATTTTTTTCCCACAAAGTTCAAATGAACAGCAGTTATTTAAAATAAAACTCTTTTGTAACATTAGAAATATCTGTCATGTTTGATCAATTTAATGCATCTTTTCTAAATATGAGAATCAATTTCTTAAAAAATAAAAAAAGTGACCCTGGACCACGAAACCAGTCATAAGGGTACATTTTTCGAAATTGAGATTTATAATAAATAATAACTGAATAAATAAGCTTTCCATTTATACAATATTTGGCTGAGAAAGAACAATTTGAAAATCTGGAATCTGAGGGTGCAAAAAAAATCTAAATATTCAGAAAATCATCTTTAAAGTTGTCCAAATGAAGTTCTTAGCAATGTATATTACTAATCAAAAATTAAGTTTTAATATATTTATGGTAGGAAATTTGCTAAATATCTTCATGGAACATGATCGTTACTTAATATCCTAATGATTTTTGGCATAAAAGGAAAAAAAAAAATAATTTTGACCCATACAATGTCTTTTTGGCTATTGCTACAAATATACCCCAGCGACTTAAAACTGCTTTTGTGCTCCAGGGTCACAAATATCTTACTGACCTCAAACACTTGATAGATACTGTACATGAGTTATAGCCTATGTTTTCATTTTGGACATAAATAGCTTTTCTTTTTTTTTCCCAATCTGATCAACTAATGAGTCAAGAAGGAGATGTCGTCATTGTCTGTGATGTTACTGCCGACTTGTTTGTTGAGTGCATTGCATTGTGGGTTACGGTGTTCCAGTTCTGTTTGTATGCCAGCAGAAGCTTTTGATCAAAAGATTATGAGAAACATAAAATCAAGTGTCAAGTGTGTCCGACACTGTGACTGGTAGTGTACTTCATACTGCAGAAACCGCTTGAGTGCTAAGGCAGCATGCTATTCTGAACCTTCCTGCTGTTACAATAGTTTAATGGCTGACAGTCCAGCCAGTAGCCTGTCCAAAGTGCTTGCATTTTGTGTATTTTTCTGCTAAAGTACTGTACACAATGACCACGTTGACACTACAGCTTTTGTCCCCTAGAGGACACTATAACTCTACGCTGTCATTAGTAGTCACTCGGGTATCAGATAGAAATGCCGGCGACTCTCGAAGCACTCACAGCATTTGCATGTTTGTCTCAGTGTGAGAATACTTCAACTTTATTCATAGATACAAAGATATTATATAGGCATATGTCGAGGGGAGTTTCAACCCTTTAACCAATGAGGATATAAATGACATACATATAGAATTTTGGCCAAGAATATGTGTTATACAAAATGGCCACATGTACAGGAAAATATGGACATATTAGGAATAAACTTGGCGAAGGATGCTGAACTATCTTCATAGTTCATCACGAACCCCATTACCTTGGAGTCCTAGCTATCGTGTCCTCGTTTGAACATTTGAACTCAGAAAAGCTAATGCATACATGTGCGCATGCGTACCTCGAATATGAGTAAGAGTTTTAAAACATAATACAAGAGAGAGATCAGATGGAGGAGGGGGGAATCAGAGAGAGTCACTGTTAATAAGTGAGTCATTGCGATTGAACCGAATCATTTAAACGGGTGATTCATTCAGGAACGAAACACCGTCATGTTGCTCAGATATTTAGAACATTGGAATTATATTTGTTGGCGAACTAGAGCAAAAACAGTCAATATTGTGTCTAAAACGTAAGTGTCTTAATATTAAATGATTGTTTCGACTTAAACTACTTCAGTCTGTGTGCATTTAATTTATTTAATAGTTGGAATCAGCTTCCAGAAGAGATCAGATGTGCTAAAACATTAGTCACATTTAAATGCAGACTCAAAACTCATCTGTTTAGCTGTGCATTTATTGAATGAGCACTGTGCGATGTCCGAACTGATTGCACTATATTATATGTATAATCGTTTTCTTAAATTCATTTTAAACCTCTTAAATCAATTTTTTATTTTTTTTAAATAATTTTCAAAGTTTTTAAATTCCTTGTTTTATTGTTGTGATTATTGTTTTTATTTTATTTTATGTAAAGCACTTTGAATTACCATTGTGTATGAAATGTGCTATACAAATAAACTTGCCTTGCCTTGCCTTGCCTTAATACACAAGTTTCACAATTTGAGTTGAATTACTGAAATAAATGAACTTTTCCATGACATTCTAATTTATTGAGATGCACCTGTATACTCTAAACAAATGTTGTTGTGTTAATGTTTGAGGATGCTCTTAAAGACCAGATAACTTTTGAATGAATATTCTGTTAACATTATTGGAAGAACGTGTTCATAACTTTGAAGAGAATCTTACAGAGTTCTGAGAATGTTGCCTGTTTGCAGGGAAACTGTTCGGAAGGCTTTTTGTTCAGCACTTAAGATGTTTCATTTCTCATTCTTTTAGCCTCCTGGGTTTGAGATCAGGTTAGTCAGCTGTGCGGTTTGATTGTTGCGTACAGAGGTGTGTGTGTGAGGGAAGGCTGTTTCGCACTGCGCCTTTAATATTGGGTCTATTTTAGAGTCTGCCTGATTTGCATAACTCCTCCTGTCTGTTGTGCTGGGATGATGCGTGACATCACCATAAAGATTCCGCTGCAAAATGCAAAAAGGGCCTAATGTAGAACACCTAGCAAGATCCCTCAATATGGAAATGAAGCTGTCCATGCAGCTCTGTAACATAATGCAGCTATTGCAGTCAGAAGTGGTTATTCGAGAAATTCTTCTCCATTTGATGATGCTGTCCATCTAAGACTGAGGCGTGTGAGGCTGAATTCCTTCTCTAATGCTCTAAACACACTGCACGATTTTGTTTACCACTAGCGCAATGCTGATGACGTTTTATTATTTTATAGTAACATGCGTCGTAGCCTACGAGTCAATAGGTGTCATCATCATACAGTCTGCATGCATGTTGTAGCCAAGTTTATTAGATCCATGTCGCACAGTGTGACATGCAGTGATCTTATAGGATTGCTAAAATCGTGCATTGTGTCTCGGGGACTAGACACCTAGAAGACTAGGCAGCTGTAATAAGACACATGCCAAACCAGCACGTGCCCATGTACTCTGAGATGTTGACTTTGATTCAAGATGTTTCCTACATAGATCTAATGCATCTCACCGGTCAGCAGCAGAGGGTTAGGGTTTCATTGCAATTTGCTGCTGTTTGAGTGGATGTTCATGACTTAGTGACTGGCAAAACTCTTGAGCTATAACGACCACTCTTGTGAGAAATTAAGTGCACATTAGCATACTTTTAAAAAGAGCACTTATTTCAGAAATTACATACTTTTAACGAACACACTAAAGTGCAAAATGAAAGTAGGCCTATTGTTTTCAGATTTTGTTTTGCACTTTTTTTAGTTTTTTTTTTGGTAACTTTATTTTAAGGTGTTCTTGATACACGTTGCATGTTCTTACTATTATAATAACAATAATTATGCATAATTACATGCAAGTAACCCCAAGCCAAACCCTAACCATATAGTAAGTACATGTAGTTAATTAATATTACTCAGTACTTAAATGTATAATTACACTAACAAGGACACCTTAAAATAAAGTGTAACCGTTTTCTTTTTACTTTAGTACAGTAAGATTTACTATTATATGTAATTTCATAATTATAGTGACTTTGAAATGTAAATAAATTGTGCTGACAAGCATTTATACTAAACTAAATTATACATTACAGGGCTGTACGTTAGCTTCCCTTTCGTGGAACTTCGAACTGCGTCCTCTAGGGGTCGCTATGGGGAACGCCTCGTCGTGACCCGTGTCTGAAGCCTACATTGAAAAAACACCAACTTGTTTGGCCGGCGACAGCCATGACGTCACTACCGTCGCAACTAGTACAAAATAGGCGCCGGTAGCGCACATCATCAAACAGCAGACAGATCCAACAAAATAGGTATAGAAGATTTGGAAGCCGCTCTTGCCAGTCTTAGGGCTTCAACAACTGAATGCAATGCAGTCTCGATCGAATGTCCACTTCTGAAGCCAGATTGGTTGCTGTCCAGGAGGTTGTGGCCAATGCATGTGGCTTATGGCATTGTACATTATACTGAGACCGAGGGAGGTGCCAAAACTGCAGTTGATAGAATGTGCGCTGTAGCACGATACCACGATATTTCTTCAAAAGCAGATCGTGGAGACATTTTAATCATCCACGATCAAAAATCGTCATATCGCACACCCCTAACTACCAGGTATAATTAATCTCACACACACAAACAAGCACAACGAAATCACTTCACACTATTAAGCGGCTGTGTTATGAACATGCAAAACTGTATCGCACGCGTGCTACAGTGGTAAATTTACTCATCGCACAGACCAGTTTTTCCATAGAGTGTGCAACATATATGTCGCACTGTACAGCCCTGCCTTAATACTTTTGAAAATTATATGGATTATTAAAATGTAATGACTCAAAGTTTTAATTTCATGTTATTGCAAAGTGTGATAAACTTTGTATAAAAAAACATTGTAAGTGCACTTTTAGCATTTTATGATAGTCATGAATGTGTACTCTCTTTTTGGTCTTTTATTTCATAATTAAAAATTTTTTTTTAAATATACTTTTTAAGATTTGAAGAACACTAACATTCAGTACAC